AGCCAAATTTAAACGGCTAAACCTAACAGCCTTGGCAGACGCGGCCGGGAGGGGAGGGCGGGGCAGGGGGCGGGCCTGGATTCGAGTCACGTGGGAGGGGCGGGGCTTGGCAAGCCTCCCTTTTGTTTTGGCTGGCGCGTGCGCAGAAGGCGGAACACGTGGCTTGCCCCCCTCCTTGGACCCGCCCCCGTCCGGAGGAGCGGAGCCTCCGCGGCGGGCGTGGGGAATGCGGCGGGGAACTTTAGCGCCGAGCCGGGCTGTCCGCCTTAGCGGCAGCGACTTTTCTTTTTCCTTGTTCTGGGCCGTTATGGGTTTGGCCTTTAGAATTGTTGGGGATGGAAAGGGTTGTAGCGGTTTGTTGAAGGGCAACACGTCCGAGTTCGTGTCGCTCCTGGTGCCGAAGGGAGGGTTGGGTTCGGGAAAGAGAAGTAGCGTTTGTGAGGGGAAATAAACGCTGGCCGGCGTCGTGTGGTCTCGAACCCCGGGGAAGGAGCTGCGGGGCTCTGCCTTGCGGGGAGCGGGTGCTGCGGGGGCGTCCCCGGTGCTTCCGAGAAGGCGCTGGGAGATTGGACTTGCGGCAGTCACCGTCTGGTTGATTTTCCCCAAACCGGAGAGCAGTTCTGCGCTGGAGAGACTGAAAAGACCGGCCGCAGTCGCCTTTAACTTGTTTAACTTTGTGACTGTCGAAGTGTTTTAGGTCCTGATTGGATGGGACAAGTTTGTTAGCAACAGCTTACCCGAAACTCTGACTGAGCACCCAGCTGGCAAACTAGGCAGGATTTGAGGGTAGGAAAAGTAGCTCTAAAAATAATTCGACAGTGGAGGGGGGAAAAAGGGTGCAGGTGTGGAGTACAGATTGCTTAAGAGGCTTAACACCGGTGCTTGATTTCTGCGGTTTGCAGAGAACCCACTAGCTGTTTTCTCGGGCAAGTCACAGCCTTGCCGATCTGTTTCCTCTAGTAAACCGTTTCGTAATATGGTCCCTGCCTAAAAGAGTGTAATAAAGATCACGTGCTTTTTAGTGACTGTAAATCTCCACATAATGTGTGGTGTAACAAAACGTCAGTTTTAACAAAGCTAGCATATATTCAGGATTTTCACAGTAAGCAGAGAAATAAGATATATTCGATTTAGTACAGATCTTTTGCACTTTTGTTTTAGGGCGGGCATGTAACACAGGCTGGCTTTGGAACTTGCTGTGTGTAGTCCAGGTCCTTTTAGAGCTGACTTTTGGAAGCGTGTACCACCAGTCCTAACTATGCTGTAACTTTGTTTATCTTCCCGGTTTTAAAAATCACTGGCGAGGTCTGCTATTATTTTCGTAGTTTCGATCTACAGAGATTAGTGTTACTCCCCTTCCTCAGCCTTTCTAGAATAATTTATTAAATGTGAAACTCGTAATCTTAGCCCGTCAATATCAAATATTTACAGGTTCTTGGTAATGATGACTTTTCAAATAATAACTGCTTATTTTCTTACATATTATAAAATTGCCTGGAAAACTTTCTCTGTATTTTGTATCATCTGTGTAATTTTTCCTAAAATTAGATCATAAATTTTCAGAAACATTGTGTTCCCAAATTACATTAATATTCTTTGAAAAATAATTTTAATAGCTATACAACGTTTTCATAATATGAGTATATTTTAAGTTTTTCCTATTGGCAGATGTTTGGGAGTTTTCTAATGTTTTGTAAGAGCTTTGCAATAATTCATTTCCCGCCCCACAAGCTACGTTTGTGGGTCAGAGTCGTATGTTTATTTTTATGCTCTTATGACATCCCCAGCTTTGCCAATGTGGTATTAATTTACTCAATAGAGGTATAAGTGTGCCTCCTGTCACATCTTTGTTCATCAACCAGTAATGTTTTATTTAATTATTTAACTAGGGACATAAATGTGATATCTGTTGCATTTCCTAACTTATTGTTACGTACTTGAGAGAAAACTTTCATATTTTTCGCGGTGTATCAAATAGTGGATGCACAATGAAGACTTGCCAATTGAGTGCTAATGTTTTCACTTTTATTTTTAAGCCTGTGAGAAGTCAGAAAATTGTCTCTTCCCTTTTTGTCTTTGGAGTACATGGTTGATTGATAATGTCGTAGTTGATTGAGCCATTGGAGTACTTGTTCCTTAAGGCTGGGCCTCACTGATCTTAGTAGGTTCCTATTATAAGTTCCAGAAACTTCCACTGTTTTAAGCATGGTATAGCCAAACTCTTCCTCTTTCTGCTATGTCCCTACTTTCAGGGCTTCACCTCCTTTACTCATTTATTGCTCTTCCAAGGAGCTAGCATGAAAATTTCATTCTGATCATTTAAATTTCTCCCATAGATTCTGTTAGACAAATAAGATGGTAGTGTCTAAAGTTCTTTATTTCCAATTGTTCTTGACAGCCTACCTGCTTAACTACCTACAGCAGTCTTTTCTGCCCTTTAATCTATCACATAAACCTTATATGCAGTAAGCCATTCTTGTTTCCATGATGTCTTTGGTGGCTTCATATATTTCGTGTTCATTTCCCCTAGGCCTGTCTTTACTACATTAGGTGAAAATTGAAGGAGTAGAAAGCTGCTTCCTTTAGGTTTAGGATTACATTTAAGGTTGGTGTTGATCTGGTTTATCAAATTGTTACAGAAAAAAAAATGAGGCTGCTATATAGTGTAAATGGCAGCAGGAGATGAGCGCAAGCAGTCTGGTGCACGTTCTGTCTTCCGTCTGCTCTGAAAGTCTTCACGGTTACAGTCCTGTGAAGCATATAAAAGATAACTCACAATCCTTCATATTTTATTCAGTATGTTAGATTTAGAAAGAGAAAGAAACTATAATTTTTAAGATTTTTTTTCCCATTTTCACTTAAATGTTGCGCTAAATGGACATTTCACAGAATTTGGTTCCTTTCATAGTCACGAAAGATTAAAAAAATATGACAGTAAAAAATGATATCATTATACTTGCTAGTTTATAGTGTTTAGTGAATATTGAAAATAATCCACAGTGGAATTTTTCTTTTCGTGTGTGTGTGTGTGTGTGTTTAGAGACATGATGTTACCATGAGACCTGAGTCAGCCTCGAAGTCACACTGTAGTCCAAGCTAGCCTGTAGCTTACCTTTTTGTTTCTCTTTTGTGCTGGAATTTTGTTTGGCCACAATGGAAAATTTTATACCAGATGTTATTTTTATATTTTCAAAACACTTATTTTTATATTGATATGAAAATTCAGCTATTTATAACAGTGAGAATTTGTTAGTATTTTAAATTGTTTATGACTTAACAATGTTTTAGGTTCTTTTCTAGCTCTACAAGACCCAGAATTCTTAGGCATGTTTTTAGTAGTTCAAAACAAACCCCCAGGAGTGTGCACGGTAGTAGGTCATTAGTCAGTGTTGAACTGTGTGAGGTAAAATGGAATAGACTGGGCCCATGTGTGATAATGCACTTTTAATTGTAAATTTCTCCATCCAAATTTATGTGCAGAGGAATAAGCCTCATTTATAGTATGAGTCATGCACATACGGCTTAATAGTAATAGTTCTGCTTCAAGTATGAGCTGTTTGATCTGTTATGTGACCACCCAAGTGGCTTTATCTTTAATTAAATTCTTTAGTCTTTAATGATAATTCCTTTTTAGGCATAGTTTTTAAAGTAGAAGAAACTCTTGCTTATAAACATCATAGATTACAAAGTGCTGAGCCAACTTTATTGAACTCATGTGAATTACGGCAGAGTTTTCTGTAGAGAACTGAATTCCCCTAAAAAAACATTTAATGAAATCTGGAAATACATTGTGCTTTCTATTTATGGCTTTCATTAATTTTTTGATACTTTAAAACATGACAATTTAATCATATCTATAGCTAGCTGAGTGCCATGTGGGTTTGTGTTTGTGAGTGCAGTGCCTATGGAAGCCAGAAGAGGGCGTTTGTCGGATCCTTGGAGTCGGAATCACAGGTGCTTGGGAGCCAGCCTCCCTAGGTGTTGGAGGTCTAACTCAGGCCCTCTGCATGAGCAACATGTGTGCTCTTCACTCCTAAGCCAGCTCTCCAGCTCCTAGTTTCTAGTTTTATGAGATAAAAATTCAACCAGTGTGAACTCATTCTCCTTAGTGATTTTGTATTTTGCCTTTATAAGAACAAGTTAGAAAATTTGAATTCTGTTATATTTTTCGTAATGTTTGAAAGCCCAGCTTGGGTCACTGAGATGGCTCATTTGATGTTTGCCACTAAGACTTGAGCTGGACCCCAGGAACCTGAACAATAGAAAGAGAGAACCATCCTCTTTCTTATACTAGTTGCCCTCTGACCTCTATTGCCATGGCAACACTTTCCTACACTAAATAAATGGAAAGACAAAAAGAGAACAAATCATATTTTGTTACTTTTCCTTATTTTCATGGGCTAAGTCATCTATGTGGAAAAAAGATTTGGCCCCGCCTCTGAGTTCTCCCCTTTCAAATACTGTTGGTAGTGTTTTTTTTTTGTTTTTGTTTTTGTTTTTTTTTTTTTGAGTGTGGGTTTGAAACAGGGTTTCTCTTTAATAGCTCTGACTGTCCTGAAACACTCCTTGTGAACCAGGCTGGCCGCGAACTCACAGAGCTCCTCCTGCCTCTGTTTCCCACATGTTGGGATTATAGGCATGCACCATCATTGCTCATCACATTTTTATAGGTGGGTTTGTGTCTTTCACTAGGCTTTTAAGAGAATAGGGTTTATCAAAATTATAACTAAAAGTAAATTAAATGTTTAGGGGTAAAACTAGAGAGAATATTTTTCAAAAACAATGTGTAATGCTTGTTTGAATTTTAGAATATAAAACATAACAAAAATCTGAAGCAATACGAGGGATAGGAAATCAGATTTAATTTTAATATTCATTTTTCAGGAAGAATAGTGATTTTTATCTAGATTTTTAGGTGTCATGGTATTTAAACATTTTTCAGGAAATGTCAAAATCAATTGAAATATGTAAGTTATTTATTAATTTCTAAAGATTTGACTACTAAGTTCTGAACCAACTCAATAGTAATTGCCTTGGCAGTTACCTCACTATATAGATGCAGGTTTTAAAAGATAACTGCTTTTCCTATATTTCATAATCTCCAGAGGATTAGATTACTGTTGGTTAATGCTAGACTCAAATATGAATGTGCTATGATTCTTGAAAGTACAGCTTAAGCTACTAATGAAAACATCCTGGGGATAAGGCAAACCCTATTTGTAACAGCACAATTTCAGGATAAGTAAACTTTTAATTCTCAGTGAATGTCCTTTGGATCAAATTGTAGACTTTTAGAATTTATGGTGTAAATTTAACAGTATAATCTAATTCATTGTTTTTGATGGATTAATTTGGTTTTATAATAATACAATTAATATATACAACAATAAAAAACTGTAAAGTGTTTATTATTTAAGTTATACATGTTTGCTTGTCCTATTGAAAGTCTCTTATTGGTATTTTTCAGAGTCTTGTAAAAATAGTATATATTTGAATCTGGGTTGTTTGTTGAAGGGTTAGTTACCTGACAGATTATCTTTTATGGTTTTGTGATAAGGTTCTTTTATGCTACTCGTGAAACCATCGAATTTTTGTCTGAAGATATGAATGAATTTTTTAAAAATTTAAACTGGTTGGGTGGTGATGGCACACTCATTTAATCCCAGCACTTGGTGGGCAGAGACAGGCAGGTCTCAGTGAGTTCAAGGTCAGCCTGGTCTACAAGAGCGAGTTCCAGGACAGTTAGGACTATTACAAAGAGAAACTGTCTGGAAAAATAAAAAAATAAAAAAACTGAAATGTAAGCTGAAAAATGATTTGGTTGTAAAAATGAAATATAATTGGTTTTTGGATTACTAGGAGCTCTTGCCTTAGCAGAGCTGTCTTCTTTCAAAGACTACTGGCAGTAGTAGTATCCATTTAAAAAATTCTATTAGCTTGCTATTTTAGTGTGTCTTTGACAGGGAATAAGTCTTATTTTTTCCAGTTGTTTCTCTTTGAGGTCGTTAGACTAAACTACTTAGGGAGAGTGCTGCATTGTACTTGAGTATCTAGGGTTCACACAAAGTAAATAATTCTCACCAAGAGTAATAGTGTCTGGAATCTCAGAACACAATAGTTTTGTAGATAGAAAACCATTTTTAGATTTAGCTAGGATTAAATCTCCCTGTCCTGTGTGTAGCTAGAAGCTGATCAAGATGCTTTTTAGGGAATTATTGGAGTTTCCTCTTCTCCGTATTGGCTAGACTACTGTAGGTGCATAAAATATACATATACTTGGTTAAGATAAATTTGTGGATTGAAATTTTATACTTAATGGTTGGTTCCTGGTTATTTAAGGAACAATACACCTTATATGTACTAGTATAGTGATCTCTCGCCACACAGACTTGAACATTTGAAATGAGGCTCTTGCTACATTAAGATTGTTCTCAAGAAACTCTGGATTTTGAAGATATATTATACATAAAGGATATATATATATATATATACATACATATATATAATCTCATTAAGAAATTGGTTACATAATTTCATTTGCTAAGTAAAATATTTTTAAAATGTCTGGTAGTAAGTTTAAAATAACATGTAGCTCATACCATATTTTTTCTGGGAGGTTCCATTCTGTGTTGGTGCTTTCTAACGTTTTTACCTGATGACCTGGCAACAAAATGCTTCATAAATCTCCTTTGTTAAAATTTTAGAGCAATTTTATCATTTAGGATTGGTGTTTGTTGAAGCTGTTTTGTTAAGAGCCTGTTGTGTGAGTCATTGGTGTTGGCTCACTCCTGTAGAGGCAAGAGTATGGTGAATTAAGAGTCCACATCACTAGCAAGACTGCCTGGGGAGAAAAAAAAAAGAAAAGGAAAAAAGCTTCCCGTGGGCTAAACAATATCCTAGGAGCCAACTATTGATGGGAACATTGAATCCCCAGTGCGGCGTTCATTCTGTCACAGTGAGCACCTGACACGGGACTGGAAATAGTGCCCAGGGTTAGAGCTCTTTCTTTTCATGCATGAGCCGCGGCTTAGGTCTCTAGCTCCAGCTAAATAAATAAATAAAATCTGTTCTTTTATCAACTAGGTACAATCCCAACACGTGGGAGGCAGAGGCAGGTGGATCTCCAACTTGGCAGCCAGCCTGGTGTACATAGTGAGTTCCAGGACAGCCAGGGCTACACAGAGAAACCTTGTCTGGGAAAAACAAGCATCAGAAACCAAAAAAACAGGCAGACTACGCAGGTTGATGTAGAAGGACTATGAATTGAGGCTGTCCAGTATTACTATCCAGTATAAGAAACCGCTCTCTAAAACCAAGGGCTGGTGTTATAGCTGAGCCCAGAGAACTATCCTAATACATGACAAGACTGTGTTTGATGGAGCTTGCACCATAAACAGACATATAACAAATATGATAAGAACTTTTAGTACATAATTTTAAATTATTATTTGCTGTGAACATGTTATTATGTAGTAAGTAATTTCACATAATACTTGAACACAGTTTAATTTACTAAATAACAAATCATGAATTAAAATTATCTGAATTGATTTGACATTTGTTCTGCTGGTTTTCTCTGAGCTTCCTGAATCTGGTTTGGTGTCTCATTAGTGTTAACTGTGTTCTTATTTCATTGTGTGAGTCTGGGGGATTGAACTTCAGTCTTGGTGACAAGCACCTTCTCCTTCTGAGCTTGTCTTATGCTCAGGACTGTGCTTTTGATCTGTGGAATTTGTTTTTGACTCTTCGTTAGGACTTTGATTAATTTACTTGCATTACTTAGCTGTTATGTGTCGTCTCCTCCCCCCTCGATTTAAAGCCTATTGGTTATTAATTTCAGTTGTTTTGAATTCCTTATCTGGTGATCCCATCTTTTAAAACCATGTTTTTCCTCTTAGAGTGCCTTGTAAGCTTTTTAATTTAAAGCTGGATATGATGTGCTGTGTAAAATGAACTCTAATAAAATGTTTAATAAGATGTCAGACATTTAATAAAATGATACCGCACGGTCTGGTGGTTAGGTCTGTCTTGTAGTGTTCTGTGACTTGGGGATTCAGGACAGGGAGAGGGTTGGGTCTTCCCTTTCTCCAAGCTGGAAAGGGGGAGTAGACTGGAGCTCGGTGATCTTTAGTTTACAGTTAACTTCACTGGACCAAAAACGAAAGCTAGGTGACTTCTCAGCAGTAATATTCCTGCTAACCTTTGCCTGTTCTTATTTGACCTATTATGCACTTTTAAATACTTGGTTGTCTTGATTGTACTCACCCTACATTTATTGTTTCATTCTCCTTTGGGAGCTAATCCTCTCCTCTATTGTAAACTTTATGAGGGTAGAATTTTTATTTGTCATGCTCACTGCATCTTTCTAGTATTTAAGATAGTGTCAGACATGTTTACCTATGAAAGTTTAAATGAATTGTTGTTTTTCAGATTGAGTACATAGTAGGTGGAGATGAAGGTTCTAGCTTCTTTCTACCCAATGCAGATTTATGGCTCAGGGATTATTTTCTTGTTTTCTGCCTTTAAGAAAGCAAACTGATTTATTTCCATAACTTTGCATTTTAATTTTATTTTTTAAAACTAGTTTTCTAGCTGTAGTTTGTAAGTATTCAATATGAAAAAGATGTGTAGTGTGGCTGGTTGTTATATTCTCAATAAAAACAGATTGCTTGATTTGTAGCCCAGTTTCTTACTGCCTTTCTAGAGTTGACTTCCAAAGCACAGGATAAGCATTTGAGTTCTATGAAATAATTGCAATTATATTGAACTATAAAATATTATCTTTAGGTGAATTTACAGAATTATTCACTATTGTGTGCTTTTAAAATTAACATTTTTATGTTTTTCCTTAATCCAATTATCTATTTTGTGTGTTGATGAAGTATATTCAACTAAGAATAAATTAACTGAAACCCGCATAATGATGGGGTCATCATTCAGAATTAGCATGAGTGACTTCAAACTCAGTGATTTTTAGTAATATGCACATTTAAGTTTTTCACTGTCAAACCTATACGTTTTGACTATTATGTCTCAAAGGCACCTAAACTACTGTTTCAAATACTAATTTTTCGATTGGGTCTGGTGATACATACTTTTAATCCTAGAACTTAGATGGCAGAAGTAGGCATCTCTCTCTCTGTAAGCTTGATCTACTTACAGAGTTCCAGGCCAGCCAGAACCACATAGGGAGACTGTATCTGAAAAACCAAAAATAAACCCAAATCAAAAGATTGTTGTATTCGTACTTGCTTAATTTCTGGAAAATTCATTTCACCAAATTGATAATTTTTCTTAGATGGTGTCATATCTTAAAAAAATCTCTAAGTAATAAAATGTTTCAAAATTTTTCTTCCTCTTTTCCCTCCTAAATGTTGTAAGGGTTTTAGCTTTTACATGTAGGCCTGTGACTCATTTTGATGGATCCCACCATTTTTATATAGTATGAGATATGTGTTAAGATTCACTTTTATCTCTACACCGAATTGCTCCACTCCCCAAATAGTGTGCGTGTAGCAGCATATTTCTGGTCTCTTTTCTTTCCATTTTTCTCTATCTCATTCTTGGCTAGTAACAGCATTATCCTTATCCCAACGTCAGGATGTAGCGTGAGTCCTTCAAGTTCTTATTCAGAATTATTTTGGCTATTTTGCATCTTCTGCCTGTAAGTCACTTGAGTTAGCCTGTCGGTGTCGACAGAAAGCCTTAGGGGCTGTGCTTGTGATTGTTTGCTCTCACAAGTAAGGTTGAGTGGAGCAAGATGGCACCAACATTAAGCAGTTTCTCCCCATGAGTGCAGTATATTGTTGCATTTATGTAATGATAGTATCATCATAACAATATCATCTGGATATTCTTTGTGATTTATATTTTCAGTGTATGGAACATGCACATTTTGTCCAGTTTGTTTTACTGTTACTGGAAGTGGAGCCCGAGCCTGTGTATATCAGTCTTTACCGTGGAGCTAATCTTGGTATGTTCTCTTTGGAGGCATTATTAGACTTGTTCTTTTGGGAATGTTCTAGTCAGGGTTTTCTAGAGGAACAGAACTAATCGACTGAAAAAAGTAGGGAATTTATTAGACTGGGCTGTCATCTAGCTATTTGAACTGCCTCCCATAAGAAGGGCTGAGAATGCAGTGGTTGTTCAATCCACAAGGATGGATGTCTTTGTTGGAATCAGGAAGAAGGTTCTAATACCAGCAAAGAAATGCCTCTGCAAACCGCAGGAGAGGTAAACTTGCCAAACAGAGTGAGGGCAAGCAGACAAAATCAAAAATGGCCTTCTTCCTTGACCTTTTATGTAGGTTACAGCTAGAAGGCGTGGCCCCTTTTTAGGGTGGGTCTTCTCACCTCAAATGCTCTAAACTACAGGTGTGTTTAGAATTAAAACCATCGGCTTTGGTTTTAATTGACTCTAGATGTAGTCACCTGTTGACAAATAAGATTAGCCATGACAGGAAGTATTGGAGTTTTTACTGTTTTCAAATTTTCTATGTCTGGTCTACTTTTTCACATCTGTGATTATGAAGTACAAATGGTTTAGTATTTTGACTGTGTCTGTGTCCTAACTGTTAGTTAGGATAAATGTTCTGGGACATTTTTTTTGTTTATTCTTTGGAATTTTCTATATAGATATCATATGATATGTTCATAGAGATATTTATTTTCCAATCTGTTTGCTTTTTCTTGCCATAATATACTTAGTGCATCCTCTAGTATGATGTTGGAAATGAATGAGAATATTTTCCTTTATTCCCAGTCTTAGGGCAAGAGAATTCTTCATGCATCATCAATTCTGATCTAAACTATAGGCTTTTGTGAATTTTGCTCAGTTAAAGAATTTTTCTTTTTTCTAAATTTCATGAGTTCTTTTTTTTTTCCTTAAAATGGATTTTACATTCTGTGAAATGCTTTTACTATATATTTTTTTTTACAAAAAAACTTGATATGGTTAATTTCTGTGATTGGTTAAAAAATGTTGAGCCTGTCTTGAGTTCATAAAATAAGCCATACTTGGCTGTGTTACATTATCACATTTGTAGATTGCTGTAATTGTACATTAAATTTTAAAATCATAATTAAGTAGATATCGTTACTAATTATAACTACAGAAGTCCCGAAACCCATTGGAAAATGTATTTTCAGTGTGTTCTGCTAACCCCTCGATGGCTGTGGCGGTGTGTCCATGAACTCCTCTCCATTTAGGCTGGAGGGACAGGACCATCAGCAGGCAGACTGATCAGGAATTCAAGGCTGCTACACAGATACAACCCCATGTAACAAATGCATAATGAATACAATGCCCAAGCAATATTCTAGTGTGAAAGATTAAAACATAGACTAAAACTTGCTCTTAGGGTCTGGAGTAATGATTTTACTGAAGATCCAAGTTCAAGTCCCAGCACCCACATGTCAGCTGACAGGGGGTCTAACACAAACGGTACACATTATTTCTGCTTGGGTATTTTTTTTTTCAAGTAAGAATACATTTGGAAATAGTACACAGTAGTACCTCATGGAAATTTTAAGTAAGGGTTGTGATATGTCTGGGCTTTTCCTTCTGGAGACTATAATCTAAAGAGCTTCATAGTAAATGTAGTTATCTATCAGATGTAATTATAATCTCAAATAATAAAATAACTTAAACAGGTAGCTATCTGTTGCGTGTAGCAAAATTCTGCCAAATTTGGTTATTGAAAACATTATTTTCTGGCTTTTCTTGGCTCTTCCCAGGTCTCTCATCAGCTCTAAGTCGGTGTTAGCAGGTGCTGCAGTCGTCTCAGAGTTTGACTGGGGACAGTCTGCATCCAGATGACTCACATTTCTTTGCCATATGTGTTGTTCCAGCTCACAGACAATCAGTTAGCTTCTTTTCTAAGGGGGAAAGCCAGTAAGGTGGAGGAGCCAGTCTCTTCATTGGTTTAATCCAAAATCTTTTTATTTCTGCCGGATTCAATAACCCGAAGTACACTACTTAGGCTAGTTCATATTCAAGAGGAGAGATACGAATACAACAGGTGTTCTTAGGGTTATTTCAGAAGCCATTTAGTTTAACAGAGAGCTCACAAGCTTCTCATTTATTCTCTCTCTCTCTCTCTCTCTCTCTGTCTCTCTCTGTCTCTCCCCCCCTCTGTCTCTGTCTCTCTCTCTCTCTCTCTTTCTGCCATAAGTGTTCCTTAGCCACTTTAATCCTTGCGTTTATTTTCCTTCTCTTTCTTAATATGTTCTTACTCTACTTAGCTGTAGTTTTCCCTTGTCTTTATTCAAGACCCAAGATGAACTAACTTTTTCCTCATGATATTTTACTTTATGGTCCCTGCTGCTAGCCACTTTGGTTTTCTCCATAACATCTTGTCTAAATGACTGAGAGAAATGTGAGTGGGGGTAAGAGACAGAAATACTATAGTGGGACTTTCTAGATTATAAAGTTTAGGTCAGTGAGTTGATCAAATTATTATTTAACTCATGAGAGACTTTTCTCCTATTTTTTTTAAAAAAAGTTTTCTTATTTATGCGTATGTGTGTGGGTACCCCTCAGAGTCCAGAGGAAGGGCTTCAGATCCTCTGAAGGTGGAGTGATAGGCAGTTATGAGTTTCCCGGTGTGGGTGCTGGGGACAGAAAGTGGGTCCGTTGCAAGAGTAAGTGCTCTTAACACCACTTCCCTGATTATCTGTAATTTTTTTCTATTTCTATCAAAATCAGAATGAACCTTGTTTTTTTTTATTTTCTCTTTAACATTTCGGATAAATGAGAATCTTTTATATCTAGGGATCATTGCTTAGTTATACAAAAGCATTTGAATTTTGGGATAATTCAAATTTGAAGGCAGAGTATAAGCACATTTTTTGTTGTTGTTTTTTTTTTTTTTCTCCAAGACAGGGTTTCTCTAGCTTTGGAGCCTGTCCTGGAACTAGCTCTTGTAGACTAGGCTGACCTCGAACTCACAGAGATCCGCCTGCCTCTGCCTTCTGAGCGCTGGGATTAAAGGCGCAAGCCACCACCGCCTGGACTTATAAGCACATTTTATATGAGACATTTTACGTAAAGTTTGTATATACAAACATCCATATTTTTAGCATCTAGTTAGCTAGTAATATTTGTTTTACACTTGTTTTTTCCCAAAATCATAAAATTTATAGTGAAAATGAAAACCCTCTTAAACTATCACTCTTACTTTCTTTCATGGAACTTGATGCAGCTACTCTTACAGGTGTGCTGGGTATTTTCTAGTTCACTTTTTATGACATATAAACTTGAGCATCCATATACATGATGTGTTTTTATGTCTGTGTTGTCTTCATATAGTATAAAACTGATGTGTGTATGCCTACACTGTTCTTTTCCTCTTTTACTGTTAAAGTCTTTTCATTCGTATGAAAATAAGTCTCTTCACTTCAGTATATTATTCCATTGTATTTTTTCTCTCTTTCTTAAATCTTATAACAAAGTTGATATAATGATTAATGTTTTGGTTCTATAGCCATTACTCATGTTTTCTACTTTGTGTGCAAATTGCCTAACCAATTTGTGGCCTTCTTCCTCATCATAAGTGATGTTTAAACTCAAATCATTTTTGTACGTTTGGTATTTAGAAATGTGGACTTTTTGCTGATAGGCATTTCTTACTACTGTGAGCAAGTATATGTTAATGGGCACTTAGATATTATCATCTACAGTGCCTTGTTACTTTGTCTTTTACTTATTCATAGGAGGTCTTTATCCCAGCTATTAATAATTCCCTTTTATATGTTGCAGATACTGTCTACTTGGCTATTTGCTCTTAACCCTCTGATTATTTTTTGTAACAATTTTTTACACCTTTTCTTCTGGATCACTTGTGTTTTACAGAAAATAAAAGTGAAGGAAGTACAGTTAGAGCTAGCATCTGGGTGCACATAATATTAGAATGTGTCGTGTATGTTGAAAAAATTATGTAATATAATAGTTCCAGTGTATTAAATGTCATTAAAAACTTAAAATTCATGTTGTAAAGTTTTCCTCTTAAGTATACTGTTGGGGAGGTTAGTGGTACTGGCTTGCCTTTGTAAAGGTTTCTCACCAAGTGTGTTGAAGGTAGTTAATGTTGTAGAGTTTCTCACTGAGTGTATGTTGGGAAGGCTAGTGGTACTGAATTGCCCTTTTCTCTGTGTCAGAACATATGGCTTCATTCTTTCGAAATTTGTTTAACTTTGGAATTAATCTTCACTGCTCGTCTGGCATGGTTTTCATTATTTTGTAGGTAGAAGGAGTACATCCCACAATGATAACTAGTAAATGTATATTTGTGAGAATGGAAAAACATTGAAGATAAAACATTGTTTTTCAGGGAAAATACATTTCTCAGATCAGGCAATTTCTCACTGACATTTTTTAACAACTATAAACTCCTATGTCTTGTGAGCACTTAGATCTACTTATTAATAGATTACTTTGCATATTTTAATTCTAGTTATTACTGTTCAAGTTGAAAAGCATAAATTCCAAGTGGAAGTTCCTTTTAGAAAATGTTATTGTATTTCATAAAGAAAAATATTTTTGCAATTGTGAGATTGAATCACATTTTCAAGTATGATTAAGAGATTCAAATTTTTTTCTGGATTTCATGAAACACTGTCAATAATATGATTGTGAGATGTACTTGTACCCACTGTTTGCCATTAACTCTTAGTGTGACCGTGTGCAAGTGCATTTTTTTGTGCTGCTGTAGCTGGAACCCACAGTCTCACATGTACTCTACAACTACTGTACCACTGAGCTATACCCCGTCTACTATTGTGCAGCTTTAATTGGGTTGTGAATATTAGACTCACAGCATGAAGAATAACAGCTTATTCATTAGGAGATAATGTGGGAACCCAAGAGATGAGATGCCAAACTCATTTTAATCAGAAACATCAAAAAATAAAAGTTGCCCTTGGCAAAAGTATAAGCATCAAGCTTTCTTTCAAGATGTTTGATCATGTATTTTTTCTGTAATTTTAGGCTTCCAGTAATTATCCCTAGGATTCGCCATGACCCCAGCTCTGAAGGAGGCAACAACAAAGGGTATCTGCTTTTCATCTCTGCCAAGTGCCATGGAATCTGACAAGATGCTGTGCATGGAAAGCCCGAGAACTGCGGATGAAAAGCTCACGGGAGGAGACGCTTTCTCTCAGATGCTGGGATTTCCGGCTCCTGAACCTAGTCTAAATACTAATTTTGTCAATTTAAAACATTTTGCCTCTCCTCAGGCTTCAAAACATTTTCAGACAGTTCTCTTAATGAGTTCTAATTCAACACTAAATAAGTATAATGAGAATTATAGCCAAAAGAAAGTAATGGAGGCCAACTGCTGTAAGCTGAAAAACGTACTGTGTAATGGCAGCAGCATTCAGCTCAGTAAGCTCTGCCACTCTCATTCTGAGAATGAGTTCATCAAAAAGGAACTCTCGGATGGCACAAGCCATTGCATGAAAGATATACAGATCGTTCTGGATTCCAGTCTCACCAAAGACGCTAATGTAGATAAAATACATCTGCAAAACTGTAAATGGTACCAAAAGAATGTACTTTTGGATAAATTCACTGACACTAAGATTAAAAAAGGCTTATTGCAATGTACTCAAAAGAAAATTGGACCTAATCACTCAGAAATGCCTATTAGTTCCTCAGCTGCTGAAAAAGAGGAGGAGGTGAATGCTCGTTTGCTTCATTGTGTGAGTAAACAGAAAATCTTACTCAGCCAGGCTAGACGAACTCAGAAGCACTTGCAGATGCTCCTGGCAAAGCATGTTGTGAAGCACTATGGTCAACAGATGAAATTTTCCATGAAGCACCCACTGCCCTCAATGAAGATCTTCCATGAACCCACCACAGTTTTGGGTAATAGTTTACTTGAACACACTGAAATTAAGCCAGAAGTCGACATATTGGCTTCGGAGAATAAGTTTTTGAATGTTACAAACAATGGCTTTGCTCATTGTACAGCTGCAGAAATCCAAAGATTTGCCCTGTCTGCTACAGGGCTGTTGTCTCATGTTGAAGAGGGTCTGGATTCTGATGCCACCGATAGCAGCTCAGATGACGAGTTGGATGAATATACCATTAGAAAAAATGTGGCAGTGTAAGTGTAAAATTACTAGATTATTCTTTCTATTCTCTATACAGTAGCAGTCATCTTGCTTTCAGGATATGTTATAAGAAAACAGGTTTTCTAAAATCTTACTACAATAATCTTTAAGTTATAAAACTGGTGAATTTAAAAAATGTTTTATTTTCCCTATACAATATGTTTTGATCATATTCTTTTCCTTCCCTCATTTCCTTCCAGCTCTTTCCCACCTCCTTATCACCCAACTTGATGTTCTTTCCCTTTCTCAAAAAATAAAACAGAACAACAAAAAATGAAAAAGACAAACTGAGAAAAGAAAGAAAGCCAAATTTTATCAAAACAAAACAAAAAGCACACATACACACAAACACAAGCCAACACCCTGTTGTCCATTTTGTGTTGGCCAACTGTTTCTGGGAATGGAACCTGGGAGTGTAGTTCATAGACCCAGTAACACTGCATTGGGGAAAACTGACTTTCCATTTCCCAACGAGTATCAATTGTAAATAGCTTCTTGGTTAGGAATGAAACTTTGTGTCTCCTTTTCTTTCCAGACTAGGACTTTCTCTGGTTTGAATCTGTAAAGTCTTGTGTATGCTGACACTGATGTCTGTGAGTTTATATGTATATCCTTACTGCTATGTCCGGAAGATGCTGTTTCTTTAGAGTCACTCAGTACCTCTGGTTCTTACAATCTTTCTGCCTCCTCTTCCCTGAGGGGAAAGGGTTTGATAAAAACATCCCATTTAGGGCTGAGTGTTCCAAAGCTTCTCACTCATTGCACATTGTTCAGTTGTGGAACTGTTTATTAATTACCATCTACTGAGAGAAGATGCTCCTCTGAGGAGGGCTGAGTGATGCTGTGCTCTGTGGCTGTAACAGTAGGGTGTTAGGAGCCATTTTATTGCTATACTCCTTTAACAGACTAGTAGTAGTGAGTTTTCCCGTACGCCTGTCAACTGTCTAGTCTCAGGTTCTTGGCCACTTTAACAGTGTCATGGAGTGGGCCTTAAATCCAGTCAAATAGTTGATGGCTACTTGCATAGCATTTATGTTACTATTGCACCGGTATATTTTGCAAGTTTATTGTATGGAGGAAGGTTTGTAGCCAGGTGAAATGGATGACTACTTTTCCCTTCCAGCATCGTGGACATTAGTAATAGGGGAAAGCCTCTAGTTCTATACAAGCTTGATTTCTCCTGCTTGATGATGTGAGGAATTTGTATCTTCAGCAATTATGCCTTACCATCAGGTTATGGAGAGTAACCAATACCCTTGGCAATAGCCTGTCATGTTTTATTGGAGAGGGGAAGTCTATGGCTCCTTTGACCAGTGACTTAAAAGATGTAACCCTTTCCTGGCTCTGGAGGTTTTACTTGGTGGTATGTCTACTTGGACTATTTTCTCCCATTATATGTTAATTCTATATAAATTACTTTCATATATGTATATTAGGCAGCTCTACAGTTGTAAGTTTCCATATGACTTTCCAAAAGACCTTTAGTATTGTTTCTCTTCATATTCCCTCCTTACCTTGCCTTTCCTCCGCCTTTCCTCCGTCCTCTCGATTTAATCTTCCTAGTCTGGTTTTCCTTTTAGCCCTCTATAACATTATACTCCATTTTTCCTTATTTGAAAGATCTCCTCTCCTCTGGTCCGTCACTAGCTACTTAACCTCAAGGTATTCATGTTGAAATACGCTATCTAAAACCTAAAAGCTATAAGAGAAAATATTCAGTATCTGTCTTTTTGGCCTGGGTTACCTCAGTCAGGATTGCTGTCTTTAGCTGCATCCATTTTTCTGAAAATTTTATGATTTTTATTTTTCTTAATAACCAAATAATAATCTATTGTGTAAACACAGCACATTTTCATTATCCTTTCATCAGCTGATGGACATTAAACTGTTTCCCCTTTCTGGCTATTATGACTAGAAAAGCAGTGAGCATGCATGAGCAAGTTCCCAGGAGTGGGATGCCTAGATCTTGTGGTAGATCTATTTCCAGCTTCCTGAGGAACAACCACACTGATTTCCATAGTGACTGTATCAATTTCCACTTCCATCAGCAATGAGTAAATGTTTTCCCCTTCCCCGCATCTTTGCCAGCATGTGTCATTTGTTATCTTGATCTTGGCCATCCTGACTGGGGTGAGATGAAATCTCAATAGTTTTAATTTTCATTCCCCTGATGACTAATGATGTTGGACACTTTGAAAACATTAAGTATATCATTTGTGTTTCCTCTTATGAGAACTCTGTTTAGCTCTATATCCCAGTTTTTAATTGGATTATTTTCCTGATGGTCTTTATTATTGAAATTAATCTTTTAACAGAAGCATAATTGATTAAAGATTTTCCCCCCATTCTGCAGACTGCCACTTTGCTTGATTGATGGTGTCTTTTGCTCTGTATAAAAGAAGCTTTTTTAGCTTCATGAGGTTCCATTTATTGTTGTTCTTAATGCCTTTGCTGTCAGTGTCCTGTTTAGAAAATCCTTTTCTATGCCAATGAGTTCAAGCCTATTCCCCATTTCCTCTTCTGTCAGGTTTCTGTTCTGTAAGGTTCAGGGTATCAGGTCCTTGATTCACTTAGAGTTGAGTTTTATGCAGGGTAACAGATGTGGACCTATTTGCATTCTAAATGCAGCCATCCAGTTTGACCAGCACCATTTGTTGCAGGTGCAGTCTTTTCTTCAGTGTATACTTTGGTTTCTTTGTCAAAAATAGGTGTTTGTATGTATATGGAGATACGTCTGGCTCATCAGTTTTATTCTGTTGATTAATTGTGTGTGTGCATGTGCGTGCATGAGAGAGAGAGGGAGAGAGAGAGAGAGAGAGAGAGAGAGAGAGAGAGAGATCGATCTGAGACAGAATTTCATTTTGTAGCTATGACTGGCCTGAAGCTCACTGTGTAGACCAGGCTGGCCTCCAACTCACAGAGATCCACTGCCTTTGCCTCCTGAGAGCTGGATTAAGGGTGTGCATTAACCACTCAGCATGTCCATTTCATGCCAGTCCTATGCTCAGTCATAGAACTTGAAATCTGAGATATAATACCTTAAGATATTTTATTTCTTAAGATAGCTATATGTGTGAATCAGATATGCTAAGTGTGAGCCTCAGGATCTTCTGCAAAAACTCCATAGACCTTTTTTAGTATATTATATAAAGTGGTATAGGATGTGCACCTATGACATTTACCTGTATGCCATCTCTGGATTAATTATAATACTTAAAAGAATGTGAATGCCATGTAAGTAATTGTTACACTAAATTGTGTAGGGGATAACAACAAGAAAAAAAACCTCTACATGTTCCATATAGAAATAGTTTCAGATATGATAGGAATTTTCTGTACATTTGTTGTGTAATACACTTCGTATAGCTATTGATTTTCTCAGTTGTTGTAATGTGAGATTGCTTGAATCTGCAGATGTTACAAAATCTATGGATATGGAGTAGTAAACATTATTTGTAAGTATTTACTTTCCAGGAAAAACATATAGGAATAGTAATAGGCATAAATAAGCATTTTTCTATCCTTGAATGTAATTAAAGCCTGAACCGTTAAGAGGTTACGTGGGGTACCCTTGTTAGCTCTGTGACTCTAATAGGTGAGTGCATGTAAAGTGTTCTGCTACTTGATAGAGAGTAGAGTTGAGATGCAGCCCGGGCCGTCCTTGAACTCTTTATACTCTTGTCTGTGCTTCCTAACTGCTAGATTCCATGCCTGCCTTTGATCTGCTAGGGGTTTTGTTTGTTTATGTTTGTTTCTTCTTTATTTTTGACAAGAGAGAATATGATCATATTTCAATTCATAGTCTTTATTCAGCCTGTCATTATAACAAAGTAAATGGAAAACACATTATGTCTTCTACAGTATCCGATGATCTTCTATTGAAGACTAAGTGTTTGATTTAATTTGACTTAAATTTAATGTAGTCGCATGGAGCACAATTTCAAATTTCTTGAGATCTGTTAATGTTGTTTGTACATGTTCCTGAATACAACTGTGACATTTTGGGCAAAAATAGTCTGTCATTGTTTTCAAATTCTCCAAAATGGATAATCATTATGGAATTAGAAACGATATTGTTTTTACTAATTGATATAGAACTAGTGTATTATTTTTATGAGTGAAATGTGACAAAGTGAGTATCCCTATCTTTTAAAAGTGTTGTGATGTCACTATAACTGAAATTGCTTGGATGTGGGAACTAGCCAGTTATTAAGTGCAAATTATTTTTCAGGCTGCCATTTTGCTAGTTAATTATATATGATATCTCATTTAGTTCCATCAACCATAGGATGTGGTTGTTATTATCCTCATTCCACTTAAAGATGAGCAATCCCTCCAACACATGGCCATGCTCATTGCCTCAGATCTTCACCAGGAGCAGAAGGAGTCGCAATGACTGAGTTGCCAGTCTTGGACTTTCATCAAAAGCATCAGCTAAATAACCTCTTTTCATAGGGTACCAAGTGTCAGCTACTTCATTACAGAATCTGTGGTAACAACTAGTACATTTGTTTCCAGCTTAAAATAGACTCACAGCTGGATCATTTTTATGTTTCATGGTTACCACATGCAAAAAATTATACTACAGCAGATATTAAGGAATCAAAGCACAACAGAAAACCACTAGATCATGAAGAACAAAGAGATTATTTTAAAAATAGCAAAAATAAAGGTGGCACTAAGAAATCTGTACTTATCAATAGTTAATTCTTGACTGTAACCAAATTAGCTTCTTAAGAATTGCTGAATGGATTGGGGGTAAAACAAAGACTCAACTATAAGCTCTCTAATAAGTGATTTCAGCTTTAAAAAGACAAATAATGTACAGGGAGTTAAAAAAAAGATACTCCATGAATATATAACCTAGAAGAGAACAGGGGTTAGCTGTACCAGTAGCAGAAAAAAAAAAACCAGACAAAATCTGTAAAATGAAATAGGTTATTATATACTAGTAAATAGTTTATCAAGAGATAGAAAATCATAAATATACACA